CATAAAGACGCAGTGGACATGGTATGTTTCGTAGCCATCTCGTCAACAGAGGGTCGGATTATCTGGTGAGAGTATTTTTTCACAAAGTATTAATTTTACATCCTCTCCATCAGAAAAGTGAAGAATGGCACCCTTGGCATTTACCCGTTGCCTACCCTCAGGGCCTCCTCATACTTAGTTAATGAGAGAGCGTAAACTTGCATTTTTTCTCTCTCTCTCTCTCTCTTTTCCATTACTGATAGTATTCTTAATTAGCAGACAACACTAGCGGTAAAAGAAAGAAAAATTGTAAGCGACTTCGTAGTAAGGAGAATTATTATGTTACTTGAATGAGTTAATTACTATGATTCTCCTTTTCAGAGAATGGTCATCACTCTGAAGGAAATGAGCTTTTATCTGGTAATTAACGTGTTTTGATTCATTAACCTTGTTAGTATCATAAAACAACTTGCTAAAATGTCCTCGTTCAAGCACATTGGTGTTATAATGGTGCACATTCTCACTCGCTGTATAAAGGCGAAATTAAATGGTTGCTCGGCTGTTTTCTCTCCTATTTCTTCACGCATTTGAGATTATTGTTATTGGTATGTGTTATTTTCTTCTCTTTTTTCTCTTTCTTTTTTTTCTCTTTCTTTCTTTGTAAGCAAAATGCGAAGCTGTGATTGTTTGCGGAGTCTGGTCAGCAAGATGCATTTGCAAGATCTTTGCTTTTGGGTGAAGCAGTTACAATCTAGACGGCTTAATGTGATATAAAACTAACATCATGATGTACATTACCTGCTGCTTTTTTCTTTTTTTTCTCTTTCTCTCTTCTTCCTCTTTTTCTTTTTTCTTTGGAAGGTATTTGAGTAGTGTTGCATGAGTGACCTTCCCTTTGTCATTAAGTTGAACCACTCACTGCCTTAAGAGTGGAGGTTAGAGAGCATGTTTTTGCTGTTGTCTGCAATTTAATTTTCTTATTCTGTTTTTCACTCATATATAATTGTAATATGCACCTTCTTTTTATAATTCTATGGACATTTGTTTATTGACAGTTAATTGAGAAATGTTTGTATGGAAAAGTTAACTGATAACACAATCTTCATTAAGAAGTTTTTTAGCATCTATGAAACATTCCTGTACAAATGCCTTATGATTATCATTTTCCTACCTTTCCAAAGAAAATATACAGAAAAAAGATATTACAATAACAGACTATCCACAAATCTACAGAATAAAATATTACTTGACACGTCCTCCCATATATTCTCATGGGATTAGGGGAGTCACCACAGAGGTGTCTATCTATATTCCATTCTTCTTTATATGGTATCTTTAGTATCATTTATAGTATTAGAATATTTGTAGAGTGTAATATTATTTTTAGTAATGGAATATATGTAGAGTATAGTATTATGTATAGTATTGCCATAAAAAAAGTCTGTCACAGAGTAAATGAAGATTTTGTAGAGAAGGAAGGGAGAACCGAGAGGCAGAGAAACATTAACTAAAATTGGAGAAAAAAAAATCTATGAATGATGCAAGGAAAGAAAGGAAAGATGGGTTCCATGTTTTTTAAATTATTTTCCCTTTCCAGAAGATGTTCAGCCTTGTCAAGAAGCTCAAGGTTTATTGGGTAATAGATATGTTGAAAGATCTTGAACCTCACTTTAGAAGCACCTGTGTTTGAGCACTGGGTTTTACTCGTTGCATTACCTAAGCACAGTGTTTTACTCACAGCATTTTGTGTGCAAAGATACAAGTATCATCCTAGCTTCATGTTTTAAGCACTTTCATTATCCCAGTACACAAATCTGCAAGAAAATCTGTAGAAATCTGCAAGTATCTCTTAAGCTGTTCTAAACACTATCATCATCTCAACGCATGGCTCACACAAAAACACAGTGTCAGCCAGATATTGTCAAGCAGCGAGGAGTTTCTCACAGATGGTTTTATGTTTCATGTTTTAATTTTTCATTGTTTAATTTTGTTTCGGCAAGAATAGGAAGACAATTTTTGGTCATTTTCATCCATTTCCTTCAATACTGAACAATGAATGGATTTTAAATCAACATATTGGCCAGCCAATATATTGATTTGCAAAAAGGAAAATATCTAGAGTACTTCTTGTATAGAGAGCTGTAAAGTTGTAGAAAGGCTTTCTAGATTCAATTAATGGCTTTATTGCACTTCCCACCTGCACCAAAAAAGTACAAGCATGATTTAACTTTTTGGTTCAATTATTTATTCATTTATTAAATTATTTTATTTTATTTTTTCCCTTTGCGTGCTCACTTTCTTTTTGAATCCTTACTTAGGATTTGCTTTGTATTTTGTATTAACTGTTCTGGCTTAATAATTAATAATAATGTATTTCTGAATGGCTTCATTGTTGTTACTAAAGCATGCAGAGCGATAATATATATTTTAATGTTTATTTTTTTCCAGGTTTTTTTTTTCTTACGTTATATATTCAGCTATTTTTGTGTCAGGCACACAGACCTGATGCTTTTTTTGAAGCTGTTATCATCTTTATTATTGTTATTGTTGTTTTATCATCATAATATATTATCATCACCATCTTCCTAATTATCATCATCATCAAAATCATCATGGTTAACATTAATATTATTAGATTAAAATTATTATTATCAGCATTATCACGGTAATCATCATTAATATCATTATAATATTTCAAGTATCATTGTCATTTATATGTGAATGCTGTTTTATATCAATGTGACAACAATGATGGTATTGTATATAACATGTAGGAATATTGAAAAGAAAAAAGACTAAAAAAATTCAGGTACATTTATATACTGTCTTCTGAAAAATATTATTTTAAAGACAGGATGATGACTTAGACCATTCTTTTTTTTTCTTGCTCCCTGACTTGTGACCGTAGAGTACACATGGGTGGATGAGGACTACCTGGAGGAGCTGCGAGACCCTGGGACAAGTGATGTCGACTCCAACTCCTCGGCACTCATCCCACAACAGGTGAGGGGGAGTGGGGAATGAGAAAAGGAGGAGGGAAAGGGTGTAAGGGGTGTGTGTGGGGAGGTAGGGAAGGTAAGGGAAGAAAATGGGGAGGGTGAAGGGAGGTAGGGAAAGAGAGGCATAGAGTGGGAGGAAAATAGGGAGTGTGTTGAGCGAAGGGAGGAAGAGGAAGGATCATAGAAGGAAAGAAATAAAGAAGGGAAGTAAGGAAGGGGAGGGAGAGGAGGAGATGGCTTAAGAGAGGAAAGGGAGCTGGGTGAAGGGAAGGAGGAGGGCTGGGGGAGGAGAAAGAAGTGTGGGAGGGGGGTAGATGATCAGAGAAGGGAGGTGGAGGGGAGGGATATGGAGTAAAGAAAGGAGGGGGGAGAAATAATGAGAGAAGAGAAGGAAAGAAGATGCAGGAGAAGGATGAGAAAAGTTAAAGGCAAGAGCAGAAGACAGTGGCAAGAGAAAGAGATAGGGAAAGAAGTTAAGAAGGTGGATGAAAAACAGAGAGGAAAGATAAGAATGAAAAACTTGATGGGAATTTATATCCTTTTCTCTCTCTCTTCCTAGTAATTTACTTCACATTTTTACAGGAATAATAATCTCATATGAGAGTAAATTCTCATAAAATTGCATTAAAGGATATATTCAATGGCAAAGAAGGATTCAGAATATTATACCCAGGGAAGGCCAGTCAATGATTAAATCCAAATGTTAATCCAACAAAAGAACTAAGTCCAACATCATCCAGGTTATCCATTAAAAAATGATTAAACGCAGTCACATATCCACAGGGTAACAGACGCCCCAGTGTACCGGATACAGGAGGATCGCCAGACAGTACTGGGCTCCCGATACCCCGGATTCCATCCTCACCGTCATCCTCAAGGCAAAGCGTTGCATCTGAGAGATCTTCAAGCCTTCATAAGGAAGCTCAGGGACAGATAGGAGTAAGGAATGGATTTTTTGTTGTTCTTTGTTTATTTGTTTGTTTGTTTGTTTGTTTTATCTTGTTCTCTCTCTCTCTCTCTCTCTCTCTCTCTCTCTCTCTCTCTCTCTCTCTCTCTCTCTCTCTCTCTCTCTCTCTCTCTCTCTCTCTCTCTCTCTCTCTTTCTCTTTCTCTTTCTCTCTTTCTCTCTTTCTCTCTCCTCCCCTGTCTCCCTCCTCTCTTCCTTCTCGCTGACTTCCTTCTTCCTTCTCATTGACTTCCTTCTCTTTAACTACCTGTACAACCATGATCTCCTTCACCCTTCCTTAAGGTCTCTTTACAACGTTTGACACACACGAACTCTTATTTTCAGGAGAAGACTACTTTAACACACAGAGCTCGAACCAACAGCCAGACAGACGAGGTAGGGAGTAGCATCAGCCGATAAACTCCTTTCTGATAGACCCTCCAGTATTGTATTTATCTTAGCATGTCATATCATTTAAACAAGATACTGCCGAAGAATTTTGATCATCACGCAATCAGCTGTTGGCATTATGCTTTGTGTTTTTGCTTTGGTTTGAACACTGATTGGCTTTTGACAGTTGTGAAATACTAATAATATGTCAATGTTTATATTATTGCTCACAACTTATGGATGCCATCTTTGTCCAATATAAAAGCTCATAATCTCCCATAACAGGCCAGCTCGGTGTGTAGTACGTCGACGTCCACTGAGGTCCGTACAAAGCCCACGCCTCTCATGAGCAACTCGGAGATTCTTTTCCGATACTGGAAGATACAGGTAGGCATGCTGTTCAGTTCTTGAAAGTGGAGGTTTGATGAACCAATTTATTTTGTATTATTTTATTTCGGCTTTTGTTGTTTATTCATTTTCTCATCAGTCAGGAATAAGTAGGAAGCATAGATGTAGTTTTCGATGTAGGAGAGTTTTTATCGTTTTTTATATGCTTTCATATAATTTGTTTATTTTTTTATTGGTTCATATCATTTAGATTATTTCATTATGTTTGATGAGAGCAGTTACATATCCTGAAATATCTTAAATCAGTTTATTCTTAATTTACAGAAAATGTATATATTAATTCTTAAGAAAGTTTATTTCTATTCTCAAGATTCAGACTCAAAAACATTTTTAAAATTTTTGCTGACAGTCCCGGCTGCGGCTGTCGTCGGTCGCACTCCAGAGGTGGATGATGTCAATCCTCTCTATGGTGGTGGTGTGGTTGGCCATGAACCTGGTCCTGTGGCTGAACTATGACCCGACCTTGATTGACCTGGCTAACTTCTTCCTCCCACTGGCACTCCTCCCCCTGTTGGCTTCTGCATATGCCGAGGTCAACCAGGAGGGACTTAGGCTTCTGAAGGTCAGTGGATGGGAAATGGTGTCCAGGTGGAATGTTTAGGGTTATGCATTTTCTTGCTGTCATGTATATTAATTTCCTCTTTCTATGGACTCTCTCTCTCTCTCTCTCTCTCTCTCTCTCTCTCTCTCTCTCTCTCTCTCTCTCTCTCTCTCTCTCTCTCTCTCTCTCTCTCTCTCTCTCTCTCTCTCTCTCTCTCTGTCACTTGCTCTGTTTTTCTTTTGTTTTCTCTTGATCTGTGTCGTTCTCTTTTTCATTTTTTCTCTCTGTCAGTATGTTAGGGGAAATGACATATAAAAAGTGATAGGGAAAATGATAAAAAAAAAAGTACCAACAGCACTTTTATCCCTAACTGACATACGATCCTCATTAAAAATATCTTTATATGCATTTGTCCACCCCACAGTTCATTTGCCCAGTGGAAGAGAGGCTACAGATGCTGTATGTCCTGCAGAACAACCCTCTCCAGATGACAGTCTACGGGTTCACCCTCTCGTACTCCACCATCACCACGGCAGCCTTCGGTATTTTGCTTGCTTTTGCATCCAAGGTCCTGATTCAGGAGATATCGGGACCTAACACACCACCTATTGCCACGTGATGGGATTTTAGTTTGGGATGTGTCTTATCAGATATTTTGTATCTTCCAGTTCATAATGTGAATGTATTTCCGGTATCCCTATGGTGGGAATGGAGCAAAGAATGTCATTCCAAATTTATGGTTTTATGTTTTTTATATGGTTGATGTTGTATGGAAGACAACAGAATTCTTTTTTAATGTATGATATTTTAGCGATGGTATAATGCACCTATAGGCAATGTAAAGCTATTGCGTAGGTTGGTTGGGTATACAAAAGGCGAGGTGAAAGGAAGGTACGTTTTAGTAGTGGGAGAGCAGCTATTAGCTACATGTATCTTTTAGTATATTTAGTCTTATAGCTAAATATATTTCTATAATTGTTGTTGACCAGGGTTGCCTAGAATAGTATTTGTGATTCCCAGTTGATTCTTGTTAATTAATATTTAACTAATGGCATTAGTACCTACATAACATTCCTAACTATTTTTCTTTTCAGCAAATATCTCCATGTTTTGCTGTAGGATTTTGTAGTATAGACTTTTTATTTACACATTACTTGATCAATTTATGCCAATGATAAATTTAGGAATATTAATACAACTAAATCTGTTAACCAGATAGCAGATATATAGTCATTATTTTATTAGCAAGAAAGACATTGTATTTAAGAAGTGACGCTAGCAGAAGAAAATTAAAATGTGAGTGAATGAGGAATAACTGTTGTAGGGAAAAGCAAAAATTCATTAAATCACCATATTGGACTCACTTCAGCGCAGATTACAGTTTTTCTCAGATACTCTGTAAATCACACAAGTATCTCTCGGCAGATGATACTACTCTGAATGGTGTTATATAGATGATATGGATAAAAATCTTGCTAGCGGTATCAATTTTTGTTTTGTCGTGATAGGATAAATGGATGATAGGATTGGACATTTTTTGGACCAATATCACAAATTTCTGAAAGCGAAGCTAAAATTTTGAGAATAAAAGTTGAATGAATCTCTGTACAAGTGAAGCACAATAGAACATACAATATGTTGGATATTTTTGATGTAGAATGAAGTGGAGATAATTAAGCATAAATCTGTGTTTTTAAATATTTTATTGTGCACTTGATTTAATATTTGTGTCTATTATGATTTTAGTTAAATTTATTCTATTTTACCTTGTTTTTCTTTAATATCGTACATTTCTCTTTCTCTCTCCCTTATAATGTCTATGCTTGTTCGTTTATATTTGAGGCACTTAGGAAGAGAGGTCTCCAAATGCCCATTTTTTAAAACTTGAAAAGAAAACCCTTTATAAGTTATTTCTTCCTCTTACGCCAAAAGAACAGCAGAACTGAAGGTTGGATTGGAAGCTCGACCACAATACAGAGGATGAAAGGGTTCTGTCGGCTATTTAGTAAGATAGCGCTGTACTTGCTGAGGATTAGGTTGCCAGTAGCTCATTTTGCTTACGACCATCTTTTACTAAACACCTCGCTTTGGATCTCATGTTTTGTCCCTTTTTCTCTCTCTCTCTCTCTCTCCCAAAGTCTTATATATTTTATTTGGGACCAGATATCTCCAAGAAATATATAAAAGAAGTATATATATATATATTGATAGTAATAAAAGGCTATATTGTTGTGTCGTTCTTTTTTATCCTCGGTTTATTTCAAAAGTTGGAAGATTTCTTATGAAGAGAACGATGAACAGAAATAGAAACGTGAAAGGTGTTGAATCCTGGGAACAATAGAGGATCCGAGTTTCTTTGCAAACTACGATAATATTAATGATGGATGATTATGATATGAAATGAAGATAATTAACCCATGATGGTAGGATGGTCAAAATATGTGTCATGTCCACTGTGATATTAGTTTACTTATTCTGCTTACACATAGATGGCTCCACAAGAGTTTAGTCACTGAGAAGTCAGTTATTAGTCCCAGTAGACCATACCTGTTTAAGTTTTTCCTAAACTTTTGGAAAGATTTATACTTTTTACTTCTTATTGCTATGATAATCACAGTGTCAATGATGATAATAATGATAACAGTAAACATAGTAATAGCATTAGAATAAGTAAGAAAATTCAAGAAATGAGGTTATTAGCTCATGTCATTTAGGCCTATTATTTGACTCCTTTCTGGTGACTAAGTGCTTGTGGAACCATAAATTTCACAAAACAAAAGTACATGCACTGCAATTACCAGCACCATTGGGTTAAGCTTTTCATTCTGTACATGTAAATCATACTAAGAAATCTGTATACCATTGGGTTTAGTTTTTCATCGTTTACGTGGAAATCACACAGAAATTTGTATAACTATTGGGTTTATTTTTTCATTGTGTACATATAAACCATGTTGACAAAAATGTGTATACTAACACAAAGTATATTAGGATGAAATTTTGCCAAGCATACATAAAATGAGCCAAAGGAGAAATGTGGCAAAATGTTAATAGAGGAATTACCAATCCTTTAGAAACAGTTTTAAGACAAAATAAAAGCCTGTAACCAAACCAAATTGGCGTTTTGGCCACCCATCCAAACACTACTACTCAACAGCCCGCTGCCCTCTATGTGCCCAACCTGGTCATGACCGTTCAAATTGCCCTGCTCAGTCACGTACATGTACCAACTGTGGTGACTCCTATAATGTACTCTATAGGAGCTGTCCTTCCTATAAGCTCGCATGCGGGGTAGCAGTTCTCACTCTACGCGAGGCTAGACAAGAAGCACGACGACGAGTTTTTTCTCTCTCTGCCTATTCCAAAAGAGTCCTCCGCTCTGCAATCCCCCCCCTCTTCACAAGATGTTTCTGCATTTCCTCCAGTATCTCTTCCCTTCTGCCCTGAACCATCCTATCTCTGCTCTCCCTATCCCCCAGACAAATCCCTTTTGCATTCTAAATCCAGATACTCCAATCTCTACCACTTCTCTGATATCTACCCTTCCTCCCCCTCACTTTTCACGTTCCACCAAACAACCTGAACGTTCTACTCCATCTTCATCTTCGCCTTCCACACCCTCTCCTACACCCTCCTTTAAATCTACTCCTCAAATATCTATCCCCTCTTCTCCTCCCCACAAGAGATCTTTTGTTTCTCAAACCTCTATACCCAAATCCCCTCCAGAAACCCTCGAAGACATCCACAAATTCCTAGCCATGACCCAAGAAAATGTTCCGCTAACTCATCCGCCTTCCAATCCCTCTGTTCCTATTCCCTCTACATTCTAAGTATTTGCCGATATCCATCCTCCTCCCCGTAAGTTTCCCTTACCTCTCTTCCTCTACTCTTTCCCAACACACCCCATTCTCTCCTTCTCCATGTACACCATTCCCTTTTCGTTCTCCATTATCCTTACCTCTCCCACCTGGATACTCACGTGGATCCCTTCTGTCGCAAGTGTCCTTCTCTGGATTCCTCCCCTCCTGACACTCTTCCTGATGTTTCACCTCCTTCCTCAGTCCCCTTATCTCATTCTCCAGATTCTTCTCCTCCTACTTCTCCAACAGCCATCTCTACCTGTATTACCCGTTGTTTCATACTAGATCTTTTATCATTTTCCCCCGTAAAACAGTGTTTCTATTGCTTCCCCAGCAACAGACACCCCATTCCATCCAAACACCTTTATATACCATTAACCCTTTCCTTTATTAATCTCCGATTTACTTCATTTGCACCCCCTCTTTACCCTTTCAAAATCTTTGACATTGAACACTCTCATTTAAAACCCTAATTGTAAACCCATTAACCTGTTTCACCACAATACTTTACCATAGTGCTATATGACCTTAGATGTCTAGCACATTTTTTTTTCAACCATTAACCACTCATGGCTTCAGACACAACCTGCAGACTGTGGACTTCTCATCTGTAACAGAAAATATGTTTTTAGTTAAGGACTGGAAATCGATATATGACCTATAGAGATGTGTGCGCACGCACGCAAACACAGACAGACACACGCACGCACGCATGCAAGCACACACACACGCACGAACGCACGCATGCACGCAAGCACACACACACACACTTGACCCGTTTGTTTGCAGGAAAACGAAAAAAAAAAAACATATATATATATATATATATATATATATATTAAATATATATATATATATATATATATATATATAATATA